AAAAAAATTCACAAAAGTAAAATAAATTTAGGCATACGAAAAAGATTCACAAAAGTCAAATAAATTTAGGCATACGAAAAAAATCATAAAAGTCAAATAAATTTAGGCATACGAAAAAATTCATAAAAGTCAAATAAACTTAGGCATACGAAAAAAATTCATAAAAGTCAAATAAATTTAGGCATACGAAAAAAATTCATAAAAGTCAAATAAATTTAGGTATACGAAAATAATTCATAAAAGTCAAATAACTTTAAGCATACGAAAAATTAATCAAATGGGAGAAGTCTGGTATTTAGGAACACTTTCTTCCTGAAAGTACATAATATGTTTGTTTTTCTTATTCGAACAATATTTTTTCATTTGCCCATAATTTCACATTTTTGCTGGGCTAAGTAAAACAAAAAACGTGAAAACATGAACTTCTAAAAATTTAAATGACGTTAACGTAAGGAATGTTATATATTTGTCTTAAAACAAAATCTTAAGGTTAAATCGTTAAAAGAGATAAATGCATATATGTATATATTCACTTCATTTTACTCTACAGTCGATGACTCATAATTAATACAGCGGTTAAGTTAAAAACGTTCTAAAAAAATAAAATATTCACAATCTACGAGTTTTATATAAAAAAACTAATATTTATGTCCACGTCGGTATGGAGTAAATAATCTTGATCTCCACGATAAAGGATTAGCGATCTTGGTTATAAAGATTTATGTTTAAAAATCTTGGCCACATCGATACAGGGTTAGAGGTCTTGATCACAGAGAAATAGAGTTAGGGACCTTCTCTACACTGGCATAGGATTGGGGAAGTTATCATAATGGTATTGGGTTAACTTGGGTACATTAAATAATGTTTGACTTGTTTCATTCATATATCAAAACAGTCTAATCCACCTTTTACTTTGAAAACTAACCTGGGTTAGGCTGGTTCCTCAAGTCAGTAATTATAAGCTAGGCAAGATCAAGAGGTGAGTATCATACTAATTGTATCTTTAATATATCGTTTTTGTTTTCTCTTCTAGCTATTCCACTATGATTCAGAGGAAAGGAAGCAACACTGTTATCAATTAACAATTAACAATTTTTTAACAGAACAGTGTTATCCGCAAGACTTTTGTTTATATTGTTTCATCAATTTTTATAGACAAAAAAAAAAGAAGTAAATATTTGAAGTTGTTGCTTTTTCAGGCCACTTCTAAGGATTAAACTGGTTTTGAGTAACGCTTCCACTATTCTAACATATCAATGAAATGTGTATCATGCATGGTAGACTTGAGGGGCGAGTATGACCTAGTGGTTAGCCTGCTCGAACTGTGAATCCGGAGGTTCATGACTTTTTCATCTACGAAAATATGGCAATAAGGGTTATTTGGTTTTTTGTTACTTTGCCTAAATGATAATTTAATATCGAAGAAATTTTCGGTCACCATCTTTGACGCGTGAGTGCTTCGCCTTCGCTATCTGTAAAGAGAATGAATGGGCGAGACGTGTCCGGACTATTATGAATTAGAAGTTTGTGGTTCGCGCCCCGTTATCACAAAAACGCGTTCCGCACTTTGAGGCCTAGAGTGGAATGTCAGCCAAATTAAGGACTCGCCTGATGATACTCAGTTCTATAAGTTTACTTGTAAGGGATACAGAATTAGCAATTTTGGGATTCAGGGGTCCGCCGGATACACACAACTGCAACTCATGAAAAGTTCATGTGTGAACATGGCCAGTGCAACAGTCTTTGAGGCTCCATAAGAGTCCATAACATAGGTCCTATATATATTCCCTCCCGCCGTAATATTACACTAAACAATGAAAAACATGGCTTTATTTTACTAATGACATACTTTTTTTTTAAATTACGCAACGTTAGTAAGGTTAGGATATGGGAGTGGGGGTAAAATATTTTTGCCCCAGGGCTTTCATAGGCCTACGTACACCATTGCATGAACACAACAGGAAACCCCATTGACAGCTCATCTCACTGACAAGTATTGAACTCTGACTAAGAAGCTTACAAATTATAGATTTTATTTCAATACTCCACAACAGTGAACATGTGTTTGTGACATATGTACGTATTTCTGGGTGGGTATTAATTTTTTTTTCAGTTTGTGATTTCAAGAAAGAAACGGTCTTCATGACAAATAATCATTATAATAAGTATTTTGTTGAGACTGATTAAAACTGATTAAAACACTGCAGCTCCTGAAAGAGCAGCACATGGGTGAGAAGAGCGTTATGCCATATAATTCAATATGCTAGTTAACACAGGCTACACGAACATTCTGATGATAAGGTTAAAATAAATGTTAGTCTCGAACAGTGACATTTACCACAAAACCACGTGTTTATATTGGATTTGCATGATGTATGTCAGTTGCTGTTTAATATACATAATGTATGCTGGCCTCGTTCAAAGCTTATCTTGTATGTCACTGCTGTAATAAACCTTGTGTCAATTTTATATCTGTAATATTTACTTCATGCATAACTGAGCAGTCGGCGTTTTGCCCAGTCTGAAATATTTGATCAAAAAGGCCTTAAATCATACGTATAAGCATGATTATAAAAATACAGCAGTGGTAACATTTAATCTACTTTGTTAAGACAAAGGCCGAACAGCTAATCGCTCTAGTTATGTAAATGGTATAACTTTACCTTTATTATTGCACCATGGTAATCGTAATAACATTCATTTATTTTGTTGCGTACATTCACGTACGCCTTTAGTTATTGGAATTTACATAATTATATTATTTTTCAATACGAAGAACTGGTTCAGCATTTTTTATTAAATTAAATGCGTATTGAATGCTAATAATTTATTTACATGTTATTATTTGTATTTTTTTCGCAATCTGTAGAAGAAAGATTTGCTTTTCATATTTAGAAAAACCTTTAATAAATACATTGTTTTCTTAGTTGAGAATTTTACTGTTTCTGACACACATATATATATTGTTTATATCTTTTTGTTTTTAGTGTGGCGTTGCTGTGCAGAAACAGCAGCACTTGCAGTGTGTGGAACACTTTGTAAAGAACAGTGTTTGACCGTTTTGGTGGTGTGTAGTATCTACGAGCTTCTCTCCACGAAGGTATAAAAAAGAAAGAAATACCAAAAATTGTTTTAAGCCTGTAGAATAGGGTTGCTTTAGTTGACGTTTCATAACCCCTCTCCCCGTCCACTAACACATTGAAAGGTAAAACGTGAGAAAATATATATATAATAAGTACAGTTGTACTTACAGTACGAATGTGGCAGATATACAATGCATGCAATACACACTATTTACTCATACACACCTTTAACAACCAAATAACAAATCTTCAAAAGTATTTGAGAGACACCATTAGATGACAAACAAACTACAGACAAAACTACAAGTCATACAATCAGTAGAGAAAGTCAGAAGAGCAGATACAAAAAATTCACAAAACCACAAATTTCTCAATCTCACTGACTGACATTGCTGTGTACCAAACAGACTTACCATAGTTATAAGGGCACCAAATAGAACAATAGCATAAGGACCACGTGCTAGTGCTAGCATTACGTAGTTAATTAAATTACTAAATTAATTTATCAACCCTTAGTACCTGCACACAATCATAACTCATACTACATCACCCAAATGACATTGCACATTATACAGTGTGTGTCATTACATGTACAGAACATATGCACACTTACAATGTGTACACACATCATAAGTGAAGAGAATGAACACCACACACATACGCCAATATTTGCACATATCATAATATTATGGTGCACACCCACACTGTTGATATACATACAGGATATCAACAAAAACGAATGAATGATGCATAAGATCATATCACCTTGTTTGACAAAAGTGCATGAACGAGTGGGAAAATATTTAAAGAAATTTAAAGTGTAGGAATTGGTGCGCCAAAAAAGTGAGGAAACAAGGTAGGAATGGGAATGGTATAATAAAACTTCTTCTGTACAAACTCACAAAGGGGCGTGTCGAACATCCGGTTCATGCCTACTTCATTTTTCTGTGTTCATGATACTATACAACTTATAGGTACATACAAAGCTGTGTCCATGGTTCATCTACTTTTGTATAGATAAATAACGAATCCATGACGTCGATACACAGAAAACTCTTAGGATTTTTTCTTTGTATTTTAATCCACCCATGTAGCTAAGGTAGGAAATCTTGTTGCCTTCTCATGCAATTGTAAAAGCAGGGACAAGTTGTAATGAAAAGAAAAGTACAAGTTATGGGTCCACACGAATATCTGATTCTTCTGGTGTCGTATGAATAGACTTTACAGTACATGTATTGCCTCCAATAATTCGATTCACAGAAACTCCAAGTAATTGTATGATAAACATAATTAAGTTTGATAAGTTTAGTCTACCTGGCCTATTGTGTACAGGATAGAAAAAATAAACGAAGTAGGCATGGACAAGGTGTTGGACACGCCCCTTTATGATGTTTTACAGTGGACATTTTATTATACCATGCCCATTTCTACCTTGTTTCCTCACTTTCTGTGCACCCATTCCTACATTTTCAATTTTTTAAAGTATTTTTACACTTGTATAAATATGTGTATTATTCAGTTAGTTTGATAATATCGCCACTCTTAGATTAAGAAAAGTATTTTAAGCTGATTTGTTTGGATTTACTTTAGTCATAGTTTAAAATTGTTAACATATTTGTATCATACTTAATGTGCTTATAGCATCAGATTTACATTATTAATTAATGTGTTTATAGCATCAGATTTACAGTATTAATTAAAATATTTATAGCATCAGCTTTACAGTAATAGTTATAGATGAATAATTATCGGTATTGAAATGCTAGTATAATCAATAAAAGCTCCTTGAAAAGGACGACTTCAGCACATTCTTTTGGTAGTATTGAGAGTAGAGTGTGACAGATGAAGCTAATCTTCTCATGAGAAGTCTGAAATCGTAACGAATTCCTACTGTCCTTCGACTGGAATGGGTCCTTCACCGAGAATGCTAAAAGTAGTGTGACAGATGAAGCTAATCTTCTCATGAGAAGTCTGAAATCGTAACGAATTCCTACTGTCCTTCGACTGGAATTGGTCCTTCACCGAGAATGCTAAAAGTATTACTCAAACTTTAGTAGATAAATCCTCGCTTCATACCAAATAATGATAAAGTTTTATCCATTCTCAGCCAAGTTATTTTTGTACTGCTTCTCACAGTTACTATTCTTTCAAAAAGTGTAATGTGGAAGAATCGTGCGCATTTTTCTTCTGGTCGCAGATTTGTTTTGATGTTTTTGTTTCAAGAAACTACGCTAGCTGAGTTGGCAATGAACTTTTGTCTCAGAGGCTTTTTTATTTAAAGCCTGCTGACAAATGCTAGTCATCAAAGCCCCTGTCTTTTCCCTTGTGTGTTAATCCGAAGACGATACTTTACCACTCGTGCGGATTGTTTTTCTTCTTTGCGATTTGCTTTTTCTTTTATTCAAACTCAAATCGCCTCTATATAACGATCTATCGTTTAATAATATTAACAATATTCCTTAGGAGACAATAATACATGGAATAATATGAACAACATTCGCCAGGAGATAATAATACGTGGAATAACAAGAATAATAGTCTTAAGGGGACAATAATACGTGGAATAACAAGAATAATAGTCTTATGGGGACAATAATACGTGGAATAACAAGAATAACAGTCTTCAGGAGATAATAATACGTGGAATAACACAAATAATAGTCTTCAGGAGATAATAATACGTGTAATAACAAGAATAATATTCGTCAGGAGATGATAATATGTTAAATAATGTGAACAACAGCCCTCAGAAATAATAATAGTTTTCCACATCTTCTTCTTTGATTTTTCTTCATTCTTAATCTGTACAGTTGGCTCGGCCTTTTGCTTATCATCAATACGCATATAGTCTGTCAAATACAACATATTTCGGCCCGGCATTGCCAGGTGGATAAGGCACTCGACTCGCAATCTGAGGGTCGCGTATTCGAATCCCCGTCCCATCAAACATGCTCGCCCTTTCAGCTGTGGGGGCGTTAGTATGTGACGGTCAATCTCACTATT